TCTTGATGTAGTAGAGCAGTTTTTGAAATCATGGATCAGGAGCAGAGAAGTAACACCTCCGGGTTTATTCAGATCAAGCTTCTGGATTTCCTTCTCCATCAGCTGATACCTCCATCTCAATACATTACCTCTGCTCTTCTCTGTCTCAAATGTCTTCTTGTAAAGCTCCTCGTTATCGAAAACACTGTTTACATTGTAGCAAATCGGGCGGGACTCGCGGTCTACACCTTTCATGTAATATGCAGAGAGACAAGAGCTTCCTCTTGCAAATCTTCTCCAAGAATCGAATCAATGTTGTGCTTTTTTTTTCCATTAGAGGATTAACTTGAGTATCTCAAAGGCTTCATTGACTTTGAAGTTTCTTGCTCTCAACAACTTCAAGAGGATTACATCTGTGCCTTTAGCTTCTTTGCTTGGAAGCAACGGCACTCCCCATAGCTCGATATCCCTATCCACCGGAATCAATGGCACTTCCATATCCATCTCATATTCTTCATCCTCCTCCTCGACATTCTTCTTCTTCTTCTCCACCTTCACAGGTATCTCTTTCTTCTTCTTCTTGAAGAGAGTATTTTCAATAATGGATTCCTCGAGCTTCGTTTTCAGATCGCTCAGAGCCTTTTTCTCGGATTCTTTCAAATCAGCCTTCACTTCAGCAGTCATATTTGTCTTTGGCATGTGATCAGATTTTAATAGTTTTTTAAGTCTATATTATATACAAAACCTATTAAATTTGGATAACTAAAGTCCTTCAGAGTCGCCTTTGACAAATCGTGAATATGAGAATGTTCTAGTTGTATTTCAGGTCCATATTATATTTATACATGCTAAACCTAATACAATTCCTATAAGGAAAAGGTAATCCATAAAATTTGTAACTATCCATCTAATAAAAATGTATCCACAAATTGGTCATTATCCATCTCAGAAAATACATAAATAAGTATTAATCCATCTTTGGTGACAAAAAAAAAGTATTAATCCATCTTATAATTATCTGGCTTGCCATTGTATTTTTTTTTTTTTCGACGAGGCAGTGTATTGATTTATTAGTATATCCTAATTAACTTGTAAAAAATATTCTAAAGGTTAAAGATAAAGTGGTTTAACTACACAATATTCCAAAACCTGAGATTATATTAAGAAATGCAAAGGTTTGTACGGATTATGCTGGTAAGTTTTATTCGTTTTAAAGAATATTATGTTTTGAAAAGAGCTTTCCATTTTTGAACCATATGACCCATTTTTTGTCGCTGGACTATGGTTCATTGTTATCAGCAGGTATTAGCTGAATATCACCCATTTTCAGTCTTCTTATGGTTTCAAGGGGAACTCTCTCTTTCATAGACACTGCTTCCACACTACAAACAGGTCCTTCAAATCCTATCCACATTACAAATAGGTCCTTCAAATCCTAAAGAGGCCAGATACCCTTCAATGCAACTTGTGCATATATTTGTATAAAATTAAAAGTTATGGTTAACCAATTTTAGCCAAATTTCCAAGTGTATTAAATACTCACCTTTAGTTTATTGCATAACTCTATAAAACATAAATGACATGACAAACAATGTTGCAAAACACAATCATCTATAAGACAAGCTTGCTTTGTGTCAAAGAACAAGAATTTATGATTCATATGCAGAGCAATATCTAAAAGGCTAGAAGCAAGAAAACAAAAATTGTACACTATTTAATTATAAAATTTTGATTATCCGTCATGTAAAGAGATATCTGGCCCAAGTCCAATGTTATTCAACAAGAAAACATGTCAAAGAAAAACCCATGCGTATAGGATTTCAATCCAAGTTTAGATTCATATAAATATGATGTTTATGTTTCTGAGTATTGTAACATTGGCTGCATGAGCAGCTCCCCTTTATCATTTTCCAGATTAATCTAAGAAATATTGTGATTTTGGTGTTCATTTAATGTTTTTTCCTTTTTTACTTTCTTGCACAATAAAGCTTTATGAGCTATTTTATTTTCTATGTTTGATTTTCTATTAATCTATTCTTGGTTTGAAATTGTTTTCATACTTTTTAAAAACAATATAAATCATTCAAATTTTATAAAAATAGAATCTTTAAAAATTTATAATTTCAAAGACTCTAATCTGTAATCAAATATTTGAACCAAAATTTAGCATTACAAAAAGATGAGAAATTTCTCCCTCCAAAGTATGATATAGTAACAGATTCACCCAGAATTTCTATATCCCTATTTATTGAAAGTTATCAACTTATTTCCCCCTAATTCGATAGTTCGAAACATATTTCACTCCGATAGTAAAGTTCAAGTCTAAAAAAACTCCAAACCGTGATTTATGTTGGTTTACTATTTACCAAAAAAAAATTAACCATCTAATAAAGCACTTAAACCGAATTATAACCCGATTGTAATTAATAAATCGATTTGACCCGATTGAAATTAATAAACCATAATTTGAATCGATTTAGAATTTAACCCGACGATCTAGGATTTAACTCCGAGGCTCTTCACCTCGTCACCTACTCAACTGACTTCTTCCTTCGCTTCCCCGCCGAGAAATCGTTGCTGGTAACGGCAGAGAAGAAGGAAAACAGTGATCATCTGAGGATCGCCATGAATATCACCAGCCGACAAGCATCTTCCTCGACTATCTCCCTCTCCCTTCCGCTTTGACCGTCCTTGTCGCTAAAACTGTGTCGGAGAAGAAGCCGCCTCCTGTTGGGACCCGTCGCGTCGACCAAGGGAAGGAGAAGAAAACTGATTCCACCTAAATTGAAAGTTCCTCTTTGCTCAATTCAATCTCAAATTTTTGGGTTTTGGTTAATTTGTAGTGAGAATCTGATTTGAATCAAGCGGATATGATATTTATAAAGATGTTATCTTTCTTCTGTCTTGTATCTTACATGTTCATGATTCTTGTCCTTTTAGTTACAATATTGAGTCGTAATCGTATGCACACTTTCTTTAATCTCTGATTTTGATTATAGAAGTGAACCAATAAAGCTAAAAGTTTAATAAATCAGTGTGAAATTTCTGTAAAACTGCTCAGAATCTATAATTTGGAAAATAGCAACAAAACCCATCTGTTTCTCTAAACAAATTTCTGCAAATTGATTCTTCTTTCACTCAATTTAATCCCAATTTTTTGGGATTTTTGGTTAATTTTGTGGTGAGATTTTGACCATTAGGAGTGAGAGGATTTGGTACTCTTAAAGATGTTTTGTCTTCTATCTTGTTTTTCTTTTGATTCTTACGTGTTTATGAATGTTTACCTTTTACATTCGTAAATCTATTATATTAAAACAGAAGCATATTTAGTACTTGATTCCAAACACTTTTAATTTTTTTAATTATTTAAAAAATAATTTTAATAATTATTTATATTTAATTTCGAAAATTAGTTATTAATTTAAATATTTTTAGAGTTCCTTAAATATAAGTAATTTATATTTGATTTGATTTGATTAAAAATAATAAATCAGATATTAATTTAGATTTGATTTAAAGATTCTAATTTAAATAATTTTTATACTATTAAACATTTTTATCAAAAATATGTAGAATTTTTGAAAACAAAATAATTCACATAAGAAAATAATGGTTATATTTGAAATATAAAATATTTATAATGATGTAAATGATATGATATTTATGTTGCTTATATAATATATTTACGATTATGATTTATTTATAAATTAATAATAAAATAATAGGTAAAATTCAAATGTATAATTTAAATATTAAAAATATATTTTAAAAAATTCATAGAACTAAAAATATATATAAAAACCGGATTAAAAATATTTTGGTAACTAAAATCACTAATTTTGAATTATACATGTATATCGAAAATATATTTTTTATACAAAATGAAAACATAAAAAATTAAAAATTATTGCATACACTAAAATGTTGTTTGAAAAACCAGTTGTACATTCCCTTCGTTGATTAAATTTTAGAAAACTATAATGCTAAATAATATTGTTAATACATCTCAAACTTTTAACAAATATTTATATTATACGGTAATATGAACGGAAAAGTTAGAATTATGTTTTTATAATAGTTCATTTTGAATTAATATTAGCGGACTGGTTAAAATTATATTTTTATAATCATAATTAATTTTAATACTATAAAAATATATCTAAACACAAAAATCAATATTTTCACTTATTAAAAAATATATTTATAAAAATAATTATATCTAAACTCAAAAACATAAATTATATTATAAAATTCGTTAAACAATAAAAAATATTCTCGTGCAGATGCACGGGGTTAGAATCTAGTGTTTGTTTTAAATCATGGAACTCCGATTCGTATATGGAATCAGATTTTAGGGTTCGTGGACCACAAATTATTGAAGTGGATTTGATATCGAATCGGGTCGATTTAACAGTTTGGTCGGATTTTAAAATCGGTCTGGTATCAAACAAATTGATTTTGTATCAAGTTAACCTTATAAACCATTCAATTTAATCGGTTATTGAGATATATGTTTTCAACTATCAAATTAGGGAGAAATAAGTTTATAACTTTCAATAAATGAGATATATGACGAGGTTGAAACTCTGCGTCGATTTGTTACTATATCAGGGAGAAATACAAGAGTTGGATTTGTTACTATATCAAGGAAAAATACGTTGTTTTCCCCAAAAAAAAATTTATGTTAACTAATTATTGTATGCTCATACTTTTTAATTTTAATAATGAAATAATGAAAACCACAGTTAATCGATATAATTGTTGACAAAAAAAATTAAGACATAATAATAATTGTCCATTGATGTCATCTCTCTTCATATATGTGATTTTTCTTTTATGTCAGATTAGTGTTGTGTTTGCTTTGATTTTAATGACAAGATTATTATAATAACTAAAAAAATTCAAAATTTTGTTCTATAATTTGTAGGCTAATTGTGAAACCCAGCCCAATTAAGGAATTGGTTAATTCATTTTTCTAATGGGTTTCTAATTTCCTAATTAACCCAAGAGAAATCCCTCTTATATAAGTCCATAAACCCAAGAGAAAGGGCCGGCTCTATTCATATCTAACCCGACAAATGAAACATAAATTCCTAGTAGACTCTAGTATCTCTGGTTTGATCTCTGTCCCCTTTTTTTGTGCATCATATGTTTTTGCCTCTTTAGTGGCTGTTTTCATGTTCGCCCTCCAAATCTTTCAAGTATCCCATGAACATAAGAAACCCGAAAAGGAAAAATCCACCTGAAGAGCTCCCTCCACCGCCTCCACCACCACCACCACCACCATCATCCCGAGGCGGGAACCCACTTCCACCGTCATCAAGCTTTGGGGATTTATCCTTTCCTGATTTTCAACCAACAGACTTTATTAAAGTTCAGTTCTGAGTAGAACCAAAAACCATTAGGCTCAGTCATGACCAGTCGGTTTCTGTTAAAGCAACTTTCCCGTCTCAGATTATCAACAAGAATTATTCTACAAAACTGTTTGATTATTAGCTAGATTCAGAAACAGATCATATTGTCGTAAGCCTTTCCTGTTTGTTAGAAACATAATAACAAGTCTACTCAACATGAATATATAATATGAACATCAACAGAGACAACAATGATAAGGATGCAACAATTTACCATGTGTAGGAGCTTGTGTGATTGTTCGTGATTCCCGCTTAACAGTCTGTGTTTGCCCTTGACTGCATTTTGCATTCTGCAGAAGGAAAAAAAAAAAAAAGAATGATGAAATCAGAATTAAGTAAATAGCTAGCTCTTCAGAGACACCAACACAGAGTATAAGCAAAACGGTGTTTGATGACAGGAAAATCATGAAGTCATCTCAAAAAGCTAGGAGTTGAAAACACTTTCCAACATACCAAAGACATGGAACAGAACCTACCAGCGCAGCGTTACATGCAACGACTGATCTTTTGCTCTTAGACCCGAAACCAAACCCTTTCTTAACAAGGTGATGCACGGCTCCTGTTCCAACTGCCTTCAGTGAAGGAAATTTTCTCTGGCTCAACGGTTGGAATTGCATAGAAGCTCTTGTAGGATAATCAAGCCCATGAACTTTTCCTATCACAGAAGATGTGTAGAAGAAGAGCTTCAGTATTCAATAGAAGCAAAAAAATTCAAAGCTTGATCAATCTAACATTCTAACTAATGCTACAACATAAGGCGATAAAGAACAAACTTAAATTCTCAGACATCAATAACAACAACTCTCGTTTCTTCAATTTTTTAACGAGCAATTCCAAACTCAACATCAAAACAGAAGTAACTTGTACAAATGTCACAGGATTTCCAAGCATCTTCCTCAATGTCACTGAATATAAACTTAGTACTAACAAACAATCAAGAGGTGTTAAAATCTACAGCTCAATCCAAAAGTAGCCATACCATTAGCCGGAAAATGATAAGAGCGAGGAGGGAGGTAAACCGATGGTTGTGCACCAATACACAACGAGGGATTCATCACAGGCATATCTGCAAAAACAAGAATGACCAATCAAACCAAAGACTAAACCTTTACCCAATTTTACTTGCGCAATGAAAGGTGAAAACCAGCGAATCAATCTATGCTAGCAAAAAAAAAAAAAAAAAAAAACGAAAAGGAGTGCACATATGAACTCGGATTCTATCAGTTTTGAAATTCGATTGATATGTGCCCGAAAACAAAAGAGAAGAAACTCATGAAGATTTGCATCAATTTTTTTCCAGAAGAATCAGAGAAAACTAAGGGGAAAATCTGGGATTTGGTGGCTCCTGGAAGTTTCTCGATCATTGAGGGAGAAAATCAAATACCTTTAAGAAAACAAAAAGTAGGATCGTGAATCGCACCGGAAGAATTAAGAGTTTTTCTAGGGTTTATGTAAAGCTCTCGCACAGATCAATTAGAGCGTTGCTTCTAATGCAAGAATTATAAATAGCTAGGGAAAAAACACACAGAGAGCGACGGATACAAATTCTCCTTGTAGGTCGGTTTATTCAACAAAATGATACTTATTTGTTATTTTTGGAGTTTTATTTATTTATTTTTTGGGTCTTTTATTTTCGAAAAAAAAATTATAAGCAATATAAAAAATTGGTGATCGGGAAATTAAAACCCTAATTTCAGCAGATCTTTGCAATTGAAAGCAAACCGTGAATCAGGAAGTGAGGGAAGAATTGAAAAAATGCTTGGTGGATTGTACGGAGATCTTCCTCCGCCGACAGATGATGAGAAACCCAGCGGCAACTCCTCCGTCTGGTCAAGCAGTAACAAGATGGCTCCAGCGACGCTTCGCAAACCACCGGCTTTTGCTCCGACGCAAACAATCCTCAGACCTCTAAACAAGCCCAAGCCTATCGCGTCTCAGTACAAGGCTCCTCCTCCTTCTTCTTCTTCTTCTTCTTCTTCTTCATCATCCCAATCGGTGCTTACTCCGGCGAACGATGCGGCGTCTTCGCAGCCAGCATTGGTTGGTGTGACTTCATCGGTGATCGAGGAGTACGATCCAGCGAGACCGAACGATTACGAGGAGTACAGGAGGGAGAAGAAGAGGAAAGCGATGGAAGCTGAGATGAAACGAGAGCTGGAGAAGAGACGACACGAGGAGGATGAAAGAGAGAAGAGGGAAAGGGAAGAGAGGGAGAAGGAGAGGGAAAGAGAGAGAGAGCGAGATCACAACAGCGAGTCTCGGCTGAATATCTCCGGTGAGGAAGCGTGGAAGAGACGCGCGGCCATGAGTGGTGGAAGCGGGAAGAGAAGATCCTCGTCTCCGCCGGGGAGCGTGGACGGATTCAGCATCGGGAAATCGGAGTCGAGTGGGTTAGGAGTTGGGGCAGGTGGGCAGATGACGGCGGCCCAGAGGATGATGGAGAAGATGGGTTGGAAACAAGGACAAGGGCTTGGGAAGTCGGAGCAAGGGATCACGACGCCATTGATGGCTAAGAAGACGGATCGTAGAGCTGGTGTGATTGTGAATGCTAGTGAGATCAAATCTTCGGAGAAGAAGGTCAAGAGTGTGAATATCAGTGGAGAACCAACAAGGGTTTTGCTTCTTAGGAACATGGTAAGCGTTTCAAAAACATCTCTTAACACACTTTGCTACAATGATTTAGAATGGTCTGATAGACTTTGGGTGAGAATGATATGATGTATTCCACCATTTGATGTGATGTTAGTTTAGAAATTACTTACCTTTAGGTATTTGCAACTCGTTAGATCGATAAAACAAACAAATGGAATGTGAGGGCACTTTTTAGAATACTGATGACAAAGATGTATGTATAAACATCGAATTTGAGTGATCGGCTGCCACAGGAAAGCAAGGAGGGTTTGTGATTCTTTGATTGTTTCAAGCTATCTTTGAGATTATGGTTTATTTACAAGAAAATTCTTCATCAGTGGAGCTTGAAGCTCATAGTGTTACTTATGTTAAGGCAAGCCTAGTTAACTGCTGGTTTATCATAGAGTTTAGATTGCCATTTCTTTGGAAACAACATTTCAGATGCAGAAGTTAGAGTATCTTTCCCTTGAAATTGGTTTTTGGGGACAGGACTTGAGCCCGCAGGATTGGATTGCCAAATACTAGGAAGGTCACAAATGAAATTTGAAAGTTGGCATGTGATTGACTGAAGGAAATTTTATTAGTTTTAGAATACTGTAGTGACTGACTAATTTGTGAAACGTTTCTTGACTAGTATGTCATAGAATTATTGGTATTTGAATGCATCTTCACATCGATTGTCGTGAACATTGACATCACACTTAAGATTCTGATTGTTGTTCACCACAACAAGTACCTGTAGCAGATATTTTATCTTTCTTTTCTTATGTATTGGGCTCTGCAATTTACGATTGACCCCATCACCCGTTTCCTCTGTGTCTAAAGGTTGGGCCAGGAGAAGTAGATGATGAGCTAGAAGACGAGGTGGGATCGGAGTGTGGAAAATACGGTACAGTAACTCGTGTACTGATCTTCGAGATCACTGAACCGAACTTCCCTACACACGAAGCAGTCAGAATCTTTGTTCAGTTTTCAAGACCCGAGGAAACAACTAAAGCACTTGTGGACCTCGATGGGAGATTCTTTGGAGGAAGGACGGTGCGTGCAACGTTCTACGATGAAGTGAAATTCAGTAAGAACGAGTTGGCTCCAGTTCCAGGTGAAATCCCTGGCCATTAAGAAGTTGTCAAGGTTGGTGAAGAACAAGAAACTGCGTTCTCTATAAGATTCTTGATAAGAGAAAGAAACCATAGAGATGAGGTTTAATATTATTTGTAAAGTACTTAGAAACTTTTGGGATCTATCTGTTTATTGTTGTTCAATGTAGCCTACGGTCAAGAAATGTTTGCCTTTGTTTTTAATCATGTTTTGAACATAAACTGATTTTGCATTTGAATTGATCAATCAATGAAACGTTTCTTCGATTAGACTGTAAACTGCAGGAACATGAGAACTGAGCGACCCGGCCCGTTCAAGCTAGTAGAAATTGGGCTATGATCTAATCTCATGGTCCATTCAAGCTCGATCCATAAAGCCTGATTGTGTTGGCAGAAGAGTCTAATTTTCGTAGGACCAGCTAATTAGTGATTACTCAGTCTCAGCAAGAAAATAAAATACAAACTTTTACGGGAGAAAAAAAGCATAAAGATGTTCTCTTTTCAAATCAAAAAGAAAAAAAAGTCAATCCAAACTTACATACATTAATCAAAAAGCAAAAAAGAAAAATCATAAACCGGATTGCTCCATCCGTAATGAAAACCATAATCTAAATTTAAATTTTTTTTTTTTGACGTACACGACTGCATGTATGAAAGGAAAACACCCAACAGAGAGGCTTTAAAAATTCCACCAGTTGTACTTAGAAATCCAAAAAATCTCAATTATACTAACTCCACTAGGTTCCTCAATTCCTCTAATTACTCAATTTCTCAGGTTATCAAATGATGTAGTCTCATTTGTTTTCCACCATAATTCCACAAAAGATGTGTTACCATTTAGACCAAAAGATACAAGATGTCGAAAAAAAAAAACCATGGACATCATTGTACGGAATAAATTTGTCCATTTTTGTATCATAGACCGCTTAAAAAGTTAAAACAACAATATCAACCTGCAGCAAACGGACCATCCCATATCATGAAAAATCAAAAGTATTGCTTGTTTTGGTGCTGCACAAAATTCAATGTCCTAAAGCCCTCAATCATCAAACCTACGTTTACATTTTTCAACATCATTTAAACTTTAATTCAAACTTGCGAATTATTTTGGACCTATCAAACAAACCCCTTGTGTCATTTACACACTCTCAGTATCTTGGTATCTCCCCCTTAATGTTATAATAATTACAACAACTACCAGAAAACACACACACACACAAAAGCAAAAGAAACCAAAGGAGCAAGGAAAAAATTTATTCGAAAACCTGAAATCAAATTGAATGGTCAAATAAACTAATAGAAATTAAATGGGTCAAACTGACATTTAGCCAATAAGAGATCACTGCATAACCCATCAGTTCTTGTTACTGCTTACCCAAAAAAAAACGAAACTACTGAAATAGTTCTGCCCTAGTTTGAGAAGTATTAAATTTCTTTCTAACTTATTTCTTCTGGGTTTTGAGTCATGTGAAAAAAATAACGAAAGAGAAGACAAAACACAAAAGACAACACAAAAAAAAGTTTAAAAACTGTAGATCCTATAGGTTTTACTGCTTTATGCATATAATTGCACTTATTGAACTAGCTATCTATGCCTCCCTAATCTTCAATCTACGTAACAATATCATGTCCATGACCGGTTCCATCGTCTTGAACATATATATATATATATATATATCGTTCCGCCGACTTATTAAGTAATTGAAACATGTGAAATTTTGTTTGTCAAAGGGTTTTCATGAAACATGTGATGTGTTGTGTTCAAACGTACTCATTATAATTTTTAACTAAGTTACGTGATATATTATTCATGTGAACTGAAATTTTTTTTTTTTGTCAAATTAAAGTGAAGTATAGATAATTCATAATTGTAGCAGTTCGACCAAAAAAAAGAAAAAGGTAATAGTAGCAAACACGTAAAACAAATAATTAGATGATCTTAGACTTTCCACTCGGGTATATTAAAAAACGCCGCGTAGTTCAAATGTAGAGAAGAAAACCGCTCGAAGCTAATAAGTAATAATACTGACCAGTTACCACATTAACCCATCAACGTACCAACCTAGCATTCAGAGCGAAATTCAATAATTTCCCAAAAGTTAATATACACATATGTATATATACCTGCTCTAATGTCATACCTAATGGTCCCATTGACCCAGAATCAAACTATGCATGCATGTGCATGTTACTATGTTTGTGTGTACATGCTCATGCATCTCTGGATGACGTAAATGTTGGATGGATACTGGTCCAGTAAAGAGCAGAGATAAAGTTATAGGAGTTCTGGTTTTTAATTTTGGGTCGATTTCTTTTTATTTATTACGCTTGATTTTTGCAAAGACTATATATTTATCAAACCAAATTCCCATTAGCCATTACCTTCTGTTATTGTTTTTGTGTGCAAATTATCTTCTGTTAAAGAAAAGATTCTTATATATTGTTGTCAAGCAAATTATCTCAGAAATCTTACGGATAACGTCTATGAAGCTATTAGCTATCTATCGTACATACAATACTTCAATTTATATTACGAGCCCTGAAGCAAAATTTAGAAATGTCGTCATCATTAACGTATAACGATAAATCGTAAAAAACAAAAATGTGGTATCAGATGACTAAACTTTTTCAGTCTTTTAGCTTATAGTAGCTTACAACAAAAATATTTGACCAACTGCTCTAAGGAACATCTGAAAAACATGCATGGCTCCAACTCCAATACTCTGTTAGCTACAAACAAAAAAACACTATCCCAAGAAAATATTTAAAGTAAATATGCACTAAACTTCTTATGGAGTGCATAGCCAAATGCTTAGAGCATGATTATCGTAGAGATAGAATAGGGTTTCTAAAGCTATATTTAATTAATATTTTGGGTTTAAAATTTGTGAGTAAAAATCTTTTGTTTTAGGTTGATTATTGCATGAAACCCGAGAAACATGGCTCCGAAAAACAAAATTTAGAAACGGACAAAAAAGTTAGAACACAGAAAAATGAAATTTTCAGCTCATCTTTTTCAGTTCATTCAACAGCTTGCACGTGGCTCCGAGAAACGTTTCTTATTGTCCCCAAATTAGAGACGTTTCTCTAACTTTTGAGCTTCAAACGAAATTAAATAATATTATCTGGGTATAAAAGATGGTACAAGAGACCTATCTTAGTACTGATTATTTTAATTTTATTAAAAGGGTATTCAAATTTAAAACGTATATGCCTTTTTGGGCACAAAGACACAGTACTACCTTTTGTTACGAATATATAAAATCAGATCACCAAAAAGAGTTTTAACTTATAAACAAAATGAATACATATTCGTGCTTAATTATTTTCCCTACCCTATATACATTTTGTGAAGTTTAGTTCTAACTTTTCACCAAAGTTATGATCTTTGAAGTGTTTATAAAGAACTCTCTCTTCTCTCTGTTTGTAGTAATCACTCGTGTGTATGAACTTAAGGTGCAGAAATAAAATGACACAGAGAAGTTAACGAGTTCACGACCCAAACTTGGTCGCTACGTCTCGCCGGAAAAGCTTTCCGAAAAATCCACTAAGTCCTTAAGCACAGACCGTGCTTCTTTGTCACTTTACAATCTCTCTACACCAATACTAGCTACACACTCGCCTTAGTCTTTACTAAGCCTCATTGACATCGCTTTTATACCCAAAGACTAATCAGACTACAACGGTCTTAAACTCGAGTGTTCAACTCTAGTTAACTTGTCTTTTAGCGAACAGAGAATCAGAAGAAGTTTTCCAGACTCTGCTTCTTCAGACTCCAAGCACGCCCTTGTCTCCTGTGATAGTGTAGGTAGTACATTAGGTAGAAAAACGTCGCTGTCTGTTGGAGTTTAATCTCGGGATGAGGCGACTTTGTCTTGGGATACACACCGACTCATCACCATTCTTCTTGTTCTAAGATATGTCGAAGTGTGGAAGACCTTCCCTTTCATGTAGAAGATTTGACTTAATTCCTCTTCTTGATAGAAAAGTCGGAACCTTCTGCTTGCGAGAGAGACTTTGATCAGAAGTCACTTCGCCATAGAAGACTTGACTCATAGAACTTCTCTTATGGTTTCAAACTAATCACCACAAAACTCCTCCTTGGTTTGAAAACCACTTGCTCGAGACCTTGACTTAGTATCTTTGGATTTTCCCTTTTCCGGATTCTTTCACTACTCATTAGTGACTTGAAATATTGAGCAACTCCAATGCCTTTTGAAGTTTGCTCACTGGGACTATCTTTGTAAAGATATCTGCAGGATTCCACAGAGTCGATACCTTTGAGACATGAATGTCTCCTTCTGCGATCATGTCTCTGATAAAATGAAGACGCACATCAATGTGCTTCGTCCTTTCGTGATGTACAGAGTTCTTTGCTAGGGCAATTGCACTCTGAGAATCACACATGACCTCAACTTTTTCTTGTTCAAAACCCAGCTCTGACGAAAGACCTTTTAACCAGACTGCTTCCTTAACTGCTTCTGTTAATGCCATATATTCAGCTTCTGTTGTAGAAAGTGCAACAACCTTTTGAAGTCCTGATTTCCAACTGATAACATTACCTCCTGCAGTAAATACGAAACATGTAACTGATCTCCTTCTGTCTAAGTCAGCTGCGTAGTCTGAGTCACAGAACCCTTTAACCTCAACACAGTTTCGCTTTTTGTAGCTCAGCCTTAGTCCCTCTGTTCCTTTGATGTACCTTAACACCCATTTGACTGCTAACCAATGCTCCTTAGTTGGCTTGCTCATAAACCGACTCACAACATATAAAGGGTAAGCTAAGTCGGGTCTAGTTCCAATCATCGAATACATGATGCTTCCTACCGCATTTGAATATGGTATTGCCTTCATGTATTCTGCCTGAGACTCCCATTCCTCATCGGTTGCAGATCTGAGTTTGAAGTGAGTTCCTAATGGTGTTTGAACTCCTTTGGATTGATCCATTCTGTACATCTGCAGGACCTTCTTCAAGTAGTCTTTCTGAGATACTTCCAGCGTCCCTTGTTGTCTGTTTCTCCTGATTTCCATACCCAGGATTTTACTAGCTTCACCCAGGTCCTTCATTTCAAACTCTGAGCTAAGAAGATTCTTCAAGTCTTGAACCTTTCTTTTGTCTTTTGCTGCAATAAGCATGTCATCTACATAGAGAAGCAGGTAGATGTAAGTGTGATCTTCAAGTTCTCTGTAGTAGATACAGCTGTCGTAATTGCTCCTTTTGTACCCCGAGTTCTTCATGAAGCTATTGAACCG